CTTGAATCTAGTCATTTTCATTTTTCATTGCTACCACCCTATACCTGGGTTTCCTAATTTAAAAAACCATATTGTGGGGTTGGGGATGTGGCTCAAGCCGTAGCGCGCTCGCCTAACATGCGTGCGGCCCAGGTTCGATCCTCAGCACCACATACAAACAAAGATGTTGTGTCTGCCGATAACTAAAAAAAAAAATATTAAAATTCTCTCTCTCTCTCCTCTCTCTCTCTTTAAAAAAAACCCATATTGTGAGCATTTACATGAAAAAAAAATCTATCTATCTATCTATCTATCATTCTACTTACTTGAATATCTACCTATATATATCCCTACCTCCATTCCATTCTCCACACTGTAATAATCTTTATAAAATGTAAGGATGATTATGGAGTTATTCCTCTGCCTAAAAATAGTTCAGTGATATATCTGTTAGGCTTTTGTTCATGTTATCTCCACCTAGAATGCTTTCCTATTTGATTTTTGAAAGGCTGGCTTCCTTTTATTGAGATACTGGCTTTTAAGATAGATGCTGATGGCATATGCTTGTAATCTCAGTGACTTAGGAGGTTGAGGTAAGAGGATCATAAAGTTCAAGGTCAGTCTCAGCAGTTTAATGAGACTCTCAGCATCTTGGACTCTGTATTTCAAAATAAAAGGGACTAGAATGCTCAATGGAAAATTATCCCTGGGTTCAATCCCGTACCCCATAGCCTTACCAAAAAAAGAAAGAGAGATATACAAGCTTTTAAATGTCATCTCTTCTGAGAGGCATTCCTCAGACTGATTAATAATTTTAAAAGTAGTCACCAGATATTTTCTATTCCATTATCTTATTCTTTGAGTAATACTTAGTACTGATATTTTTCTGATTTATTTGCATATTTGTTTATAGTATTCTTTAATTAGAATTTGGCCCTTGTTTATTGTCATTCTACTTACTTGATCACCTTTGGTGATTCCAGTGTTTGCCAGGATGAATTTCTAACATGCTTGAGTTGAATCATCTAATGTGCTTGTGTTTAGTTTCCAAATCATGTTCATGAAACTAGAGTAAACCTGACAGGGGACTTGCCCATGATAGGGACATGTATGCCTAGGATGAAATGGAGAACCAGTGTAGGAAGCGTCACATCAGGCTGGGCAGGCAGCAACCAAAGTTGGCAGATTTAAAAGGGCCGCTGAACTGGCTTTATTGAGATATCACTCCCGGGCGGAACTCCATCAGACCCGCAGAGGGGACAGGGGAAGGGTCTGAGGAGAAACTGAGTGGAAGCTCGACCAGACTGGACTTTTATGGGGCTTATAGCAGAAAAGGAAAGGCTTGGGACAGGAAAAGGTGTCTCTAGGGTCCCTTGCCCCCTTGGAGTTGGTCAGGGGAGTTGGCTGAACTCCAGGATTGGTCAGGGGGTCCTGCTGATTGACAGGCGTTAGTCAGGAGATCTGGCTGATTGACAAGCGTTTCCACCGGCATCTGATTGATGTTCAAAGCATCGCGGGCTGCTTTGTTCTAAGTTGCCACCAAGTTGCCACCAAGTCGCTGCCACCGACCTAACAGGAAGATTGTTAACTCAGGTAGGAAGATTGGCTGAAGACAGAATAACTGAGAGTGGAACAAAATTGTAAGCAAGGTGAGAAGCAAAAGGCCTGAGGGATAAGGCAAGGCAAAGATGAAATAGGAAGCTGAAACATTAGGTCAGAAACCTAGAGAATCAAGATAGTGTAAGGGACAGGGCCAGCAGTTCAGGATTAGGGTCATAAATCAACTTGGGGAATACTTATATCATCTTTTAGTAGTCTTACCTTTTTCATCTAGAAACAGCTTTTGAATTATCAGGTCATTGACCTACAAGTGTTTGAGTGAGATTGCATATTCTTTTCTTTGTATTTTATTTGCTATTTATTTTAAAATCAAAGTCTACCTTACCTATCCTCCCTCAGATTCTGCTAAGGGATTCTGTTACCAGATTCTGTTTTGTATTCCTTTAAATATATCAGGTTCAGCTATCTCTGAAATAAGTTTCTTATATGAAAGCCTGAAGCAGTCCTGGAGTTCCATTCAGGTAGGATGAAAGGAGGGAGCACTCCTCAGACCATCTCTTCCCACTGAACCAGGCATAGGAGCTCAGAAGCCTCAGGAGTTCAAGACTCTGTTGAGACTGAATCTGGAATTTCCCTCTGAATTTTGGGAGGGGCATAAGAGTTTAGGTAATAGGAAGGAATTCTATCAATAAAGCATAGTAAGAACTAGTAGAAGACTGAGTAGATATGTGTAGATGGCAGGATCTAAGGGTGTGGAGTGGATTTCAAGGTTTCTGATCTGGAATGGTCCTCAAATTAGGCAATGTTAGGGGCTCTGATATACCAAGTAGAGAGGCATTAATAGTACTAGTCCTTAGCCCTTAGATTGTTCTTTGTATTTTTCTATGTAGCCTAGAGCTCTTCTATATGCTGAGAAGGAGTCATGAGAGTAGAAACAGTACTAACTGAAAGCAGAAGTAGTTTCTCTCTTTCTTCTTTTTTTTTGTTTTTTGGTACCAGAGATTGAACCCAGGGGTGTTTAACCACTGAATCACATCCCCGGCTCTTTTTATTTTGAGACAGGGTCTTGCTAAGTTGCTTAGGCTGGCCTTGAACTTGTGATCTTCCTGCCTCAGTCTCTGCAGTCACTGGAATTACAGGCATACACCACTATACTCAATGAACAGTTTCTGTTTTGAAGGTTAGATGGAGTGGTTGTGTGTGCAGAGTGGATAGTCTATGGCTAGTCATCTGGCCTGTGTAAGGCAAGACATCTACACTCCCCTTCTAGGGCTCTGTTGGGAAAATTAGGCTAAGAGTCAGCAATCATGACCATTGTTCATGATTTCCCCATGTATTCCTGGTCTTTGCTTACCCCGCTGCTCTAAGCCCCAGGCTCTGATGTTCTGCCTTCTCTTTTATGGTTTAAGGCCTTCAAATTGCATATTCATTCTGAATTCTCCTTCTAGATTATTCACTCCATACCCAGCTTGGCTTTGCCCATATGTCATTCGCTAATTTTGACATTGCTATCCAGGTTTAAGTAAGGGCCTTCCTCCATTAACCCTGTTCCTAGAGCTATTATTTTTAAACTTTAATGCATAGAAATTACCCATGGAGTCAAGTGGGAGCCTGGATACTTGTTTAGGAGAGATTCCTGTTCTCTTCCTAGATATTCTGATTCATTAGATGTGAAATGGTGACCAGGAATCTAGTTTGATCATCCTCCAGGCTGATTCTGACCCCTGACAGAGGTCCCTGTCAGCTCCTCATCCCTAAAAGAGCAAGAAGAGAATTTTAATCCTTTATTTGGGTTTTAAGATCCTAGAACCATAGTCTTGTTGCCTATCATGCAATGATGACAGTGTCTTATATTCTGTTCCTCCATCTCCTATGAGAGTACCAGAACGTGAGACACCGTAGGAACAGAGCCCAGATGAGGTGGAAGACCTTAATATCTCTCCAATTGCAAATCAGTATCTTTGGGGTTTATAGAGGACTTTGGCACTGGACTTAGAGAAAGTAGGTTAATGTAGACCCTGAGGCTGCCAATCATACTTCAGATTTGCCTCTGGAGTTCTTCTCATTTTTATTTACATTGACTGTGCTCTGACATTGGTTTTCCTTATCTAATCTTGAAGCTGCCCTCATTCTCCTTTGTGGCCATCTTCTATACTGCTTCCATCCATCTTTCTATGGACAACTTGATGTTATCTTTCTGCTTTAAAATCTTCTGTTACGTCCCTATTACCTATATACTCAAGTCCAAATGTATCAGGTTGGAATAAACAATCATGAAAAATTTGGCCCAAATCATCTGAAGATCTGCAATATCTCATGTTTCTCCAATCTCATTCCAGGCTACTCTCCTCCTTCCTTACTCCTACCTTCACTTGCTTACAGTCGCTTGATCATTTTTCCAACTATTTCTGGCCTCAGGGCCTTTGCAATACCATATGGCCTCTGCCTGGAATACTTTTTACCTTGTTCTTTATCTAATTAACTATCCTTTGACTTACCATGTCAACTAATATTAGTATTTGTATAAAAAAGAGGGCAACTTTGTGTATCTATATAATCTCCTCTTAGAGATCTTTTTGGCCACTGTATATCAAGAAACTATCTTAGTCCCCCATTGGCTTTAGTCAAATCACTTAATGCTATTTACCTGTTTGTCTTTCTCTCCTTTTAGATTATAAGCTCCATGAGGGCAGGGGTCTTCTTGTTCATGATTGTATTTTCAGTACCTTTTGCATAATGCCACTCAATAAGCCCTTGTTGACTAATCCATATTTTTGTTTTCTTTTTAGTATCTGTTTTGCTGCATTGTGGCTCTGCACAGCTCTTGCCCTTTGCATAAGCTGTTGCCTGTCCCAGAAACACCCTTTCTCTTATTAACTTGTCAGATTGCTTCTTGTCCTTTACTGTTTCTTTAAGCATTTCTTTGACCTTCCCAGGTTGTGCTGGTTCAACAGAGACAGTGTTTTGTTCCTCTTGAATAGGCTTTCTCACCCTGTGTTGTGATTTTGCCTATGCGAAAGATAGGTGGTATTGCCTGTTTTTATAGGTGACCAACTGGAGGCTCTGAGAGATTAATTAACTTGAAAATAGGAAATCTGATAATTTGAACCCTGAGAAGCCCTATTCTACTTCACTATGCTCCCTCCAAGGGAAAAAAAAAAAATCAGCAGATCTAGAGACACTGAAGTCAAAGGGGTGCTTATTATTATTAGTTAACACTACTGTGTATGCTCTTTAAAATATCCTGAGAGTTAAACACAGTAAAATAAGTAATATTGATAAGCCATTAGTAGGGATAATAGAGAAAAAGGGTGATTTTAGTGTTCAAAGGATGATGTATATTTCATGTATTTTCTTGATCATATCCTTGTTGACATTTTTTTTTTTTGATACTGGGATTGAATCCAGGGATGCTTTACCATGGAGCTACCACCCCAGCCCTTTTTATTTTTTATTTTGAGACAGGGTCTTGCTAAGTTGCTGTGGCTGGCCTTGAACTTGTGATCCTCCTGCCTCAACCTCCCGAGTTGCTGGAATTATAGGTATGCACAACTGCGCCTAGCTCTTCTTAGTGTCTTCTTGTGATTCTGAGAAAACTAATCTACAGCTTGGTAGAAATGATGTGGAACACTATTAAATTCAAACCAAAGCAGTTATCAATAATTAACTCATGATTTCTTAGAGGATATATGAAGAATGATATCTGTACATTTTTTTTTTTTTGAGGGGAACAATGTGTAGAGAGCCATCAGTACATTTTGCTTAAAAATATATCTTATGGGCTAGGGGTGTAGCTTAGTGGTAGAGTGCTTACTGGCTTGTGTGAAGCCCTGGGAACCCAGTACCACCATAAAAACAACAACAGCAATAACAACAGCAACAAAACATTGATAAAAACTAGTTGAATAAATTATAATGGATATGTTAGCTTTCGTTGCTGGGACAAATTAGTTGAGAAAATCAATTTAAATAAAGAAAGATTTATTTTGGCTCATGGTCTCAGAGGTTTCTGCCCCTGTTTGGCTGGCTCCATTGTTTTTGGGCCTGTGGTGAAGCAGTACATCATACTGAGGAGGGCGTGGTGGAACACAGTCACTCACCTCATGGTAACCAGGAAGCAGAGAGAGGGAAAGGGGCTATGGACAGGATATCGTCTCTTAAGGGCATGCCCCTAAGGGCTCTGACCAACTGGATTCTATCTCCTACAGTTTCTACCCCCTCCCAGCAGTCTATTTAGCTTTGAATCCTCAGTGAATTAATTTGTTGATGAGGTCAGAGTCCTCATGATCCAATCAGTTCCCATAATTCCCAGTTTTGAACAGTGCTGCATTAATAATCAAGTCTTCAACACATGAACTGTTGGGACATTCCAGATCCAAACCATAAAGGTGGTTAATGCCGTATTATGCAGCTATCAAAAAGAATGATACAAATACTTACTGGTATGGAACAATCTCTAAGACCTATTATTAAGAGATAACTAGAGAGAGGTACATAATAGTATTTATGGTTATTGTGCTAGTATTACTATTCTATGAGTAAAAAGGGAAAATTTATATACCTATTATGTACCCAGACTAAAAAAAATTGATTGATTTTGAAACTTAAGATAACCTGTGTACATCAGAATATCACACTATTTTTCTTGCTCTTCCTACCATTTGTTTTATTAGCATCTTTATTCTTCCTGTTCCGTTCAGTAGAAATCTTGGAAACCCCCCCCCCCCACACACACACCCCTGCACTTTTGAGTATTGGGGATTGAACCTTAGAGCCTTAGACATGCTAGACAAGTGCTGTACCGCTGAGCCACATCCTCAGTCCTTTTTGAATTGGATTGGATTGAATTGAATTTATTTATTTTGGTGCTGGGTATTGAACCTAGGGGCACTTAACCACAGAGCCACATCCCCAGCCCTTTTTATTTTTTGAGACAGGATTTTACTAAGTTGCTTAGGGTCTTGCTAAGTTGTGGAGACTGATCTTGAACTTGATATTTTTCTGCTTTAGCCTCCCAAGTCACTGGGATTATAGGTGTGCATAAACCATGCCTTGGCTAGGAGCAATCCTTTTTAAAAAAATGTGTATGTATGTTGGTTTTGATTTCCCAAATGGAGAAAGTTCTCAAAGGAAGGAGGCATCTCTTAAGATTTTATCCTATAGTGAGTAGCATAAGATTTGCTTATTAAACATTCAACAAAGATGAGAAAGAAAGACTCTTCTAGGGCTGGGAATGTGGCTCAGGCGGTAGCGCGCTCGTCTGGCATGCGTGCGGCCCGGGTTCGATCCTCAGCACCACATACCAACAAAAATGTTGTGTCCGCCGAGAACTAAGAAATAAATATTAAAAAATTCTCTCTCTCTCTCTCTCTCTCTCTCTCTCTCTCTCTCTCTCTCTCTCTCTCTCTCCCCCCCCCCCCCCCCCCCCCCCCCCCACTCTCTCTTAAAAAAAAAAAAAATTCACAAAAAAAAAAAAAAAAAAAGAAAGACTCTTCTATAAAAGGAATGATTGGTTTTTTCTGACACATCTTGCATACTTCTCTAGCAGGTTGTTTCTTCTCTTTGACAGACTTAAGTGTGTTGGGGGCTTGGGGAGTGGGGGAGGGGTGGGGAGAGAGGAAAGTAGGGGATGAGGAGAGGAAGGAGAGAAAGAGAAAATGAATTTGTGAATGTTTCCTGCTGAAAGCCTAGGAAAGGAGCAGAAGACAGATTGGGGCCTAAAGTCTCTGGTCAAATAGTATGTAGTTTGAGACTTCTGTGTCATAGCCCTAGGAGAACCTCAAATTTTCATCCTCTTTCTAGTATCAGGCCTGGATATTTAATCAGGTTAGCAGGTCAGCTGAACCTGAATGTGCCTTTGACGTCTTAAATTCAATAGCACATAGTAGGAATATGATAAAAAGTAATTATGATCAAAAGTGATTTTTAAAATAATTTTTTAATATTTATTTTTTAGTTTTAGGTGGACACAATATCTTTTTATTTATTTATTTATTTATTTATTTAGTCAGTCAGTCAGTCAGTCAGTCAGTCAGGGATTGAACCCAGAGGTACTTTACTGAGCTACATCCCCAGCCCGTTTTTATTTTATCTTTTTTTTTTTTTGAGACAGTATCTCACTAAATTGCTTAGGGCCTCACTGAGTTGCTGAGGCTGGTTTTGAACTTGAGATCCTCTTGCTTCAGAGTCCTAAGTTGTTGGGATTATAGGTGTGGGCCACTGTACCTGGCTCCTCCATTTCTCTTGTATCCCCTTTTCACCCTATGAGTGACCTGGCTTCTGGAAAGAAGAGGGAAAGGATGAGGGAGGATGGGAAAAGTCAAAGAACTTGGGAGGGTGTGTAGATGTGCTCTCCTTATATTCTTTCTGGAACAAAGTATGGGGAAGAAGATATGTAAGTGGGTGGGAGAACGTACACACTACCTGTACCACTTTCCTAGCACTTAATCGGAACCCTTGTTTATTATTAACCATCTCTTTATGTGCTAATCCTCTCTCACAGAGTATAAGCATGTATATGTGTAAATTTTTTTTTTTTTTTT